TAATATAATATAATATAATATAATATAATATAATATAATATAAAATAATATAATATAATATCATATAATATAATATTATATTATATAATATAATATAATATAATATTTTTGGGCATGTAAACTGAGACCTTTTAGATAAAAGACAGATAAAGGAGGACAGCTAAAGGAACACATTGTTCTGAAATCAACATTTCTAAATGATCTTTAAATGCTGAAATGTCGCATTGACTAATTGAAGATCCCTAAGGAAAAGCCCCAACAAAGTCACACTTCGAAAATTAAAGGATTATCTATTTAAACTGCAGGAACAGGACCTAAACCATTTTGTTTCCTCACTCACTTGTAGGTATTGTAGCGTGCCACAAGTGAGTTGACGGAGTGGCAAATGCCAAACTCCGTTTGCGTCTCATAGATGAACATTTTGACAGCGGCGCCGCTGCTGATTTCCGGCTCGAAGGGCCATTTCAGCTCATAGAGCAAGCTCAAGTAGTCGCTGCTGTCGATGCCGTACGACTTGTTCAATGGCAGAGTCTCCAAGTTGTCGTATGTGAGACTCGCAAGTTTGATAATAAAATCCCGGAAGAACTCCTTATCATCCTCGTCCACGAACTTCTCGCTGTGCGCCCTATGCGCGATGAGACAGAAGTGCATATTAAATAAATATATATATGTATATTCGATATATATTCAGGCTTACTCTATGTAGTCCTCCAGCTTGATGTCATCGATGCGCTTGTGCGGGCACACGGTGAGCGATGGAAAACTGGTGTTCCACACCAGCTTATTGCGATCCATCGAGATGACCATGGGCGAGGTCTGGAAACGTTGCCAAGTGCGTTGGCTCAGCGAGATGATGCTGAACAATGCCACGCAGATGAAGGCGAACCAGAGCATGCTAAAAGAAATCAACGAACAAAAAATACGAAAATGATATATGTATGTCGTATAGAGTCCCCTGGAAATGATTGAAAATGGGGTATGTGAGTTGTGTGAACTCTATTGTAGAAGTTAAGGTAGACAAATGTTGATGGTACGTGAAGTTTTAAGAGAATCTAGGAGAGCTGCTCTATTATACAATGATCTATAAATTATTTATTATATATTATCTATGTATGCATAAGATCTGTCTAATATACAAGTTATATGTTCATATTTCTTT